CTCCAAGTACTGTCGTCAAAGCTCTCCACATACTGCTGCAATCAAGCTCTCCAAGTACTGTCGTCAAGCTCTCCAAGTACTGCTGACGTCAAAGCTCTCCAAGTACTGCCATCAAAGCTCATCAAATACAGCCATCAAAGCTCTCCAAGTACTGCTGTCGTCATTTAGCACTCTAAGTACTGCTGCCATCAAAGCTCTCCAAGTACTGCTGCCGTCAAAGCTCTTCAAGTACTGCTGCCATCAAAGCTCTCCAAGTACAACCGTTAAAGCTCTCCAAGTACAGCCGTCAAAGTATCATACATGTATATTCTGTCAAAGTACAAAGCTCCAAGTACTGCTGTCGTCAAAGTTCTGCAAGTACAGCCGTCAAAGTTCTCTAAGTATCATACATGTATATGCGTATGTGTATTTTAACTCTGAGTAGATAGTACATTAGATGATTTAATTTGGCACCAAAACTCACTTTGTCACCGGGTACCGTTTTTTCTTGCATGTCAGTCTATATACGCTTCTCTATACATGTAGTAGCTTCCGTCGACATTATACGTTTCATCTATATTTACAAATATAATATATATATTTTTGCGTCTCCATATGAGTGAAAAATTCTCGAGAGGGACGTTAAACAACAAACAAATATAAAATCTTCTTTAGTATGACTCGTAAAAAAAAAATTCATCCATTATAATCTTCAGAAATTATCAGGCAATCATCTATTAGTTTATGCCAATCTTTATTTTCTCTGGACTCTAAATAGACGTAAAGAATCTCTCTCTCTCTCTCTCTGTTCTTCACCGAAAAGGGGAAAAAAATTAAGATTTCTGAGTGAAATCTGAAAACGATCCCAGAGAGTGACATTGTGTTGCACGGTAGGAACAGGTTCGTAGCTAGAACATGCTTTGTTTGGTCAAATTATCTTATTTTTAATCTGGATCTAAATATACAACAAAAACATAACAATGAAACGGGTATGCGGTACAATTTATAGGATAGACCGATGAATCAGCCTAATTATTAGAAAGTGATTAATGTGAAATCGACCTCAGTATTAATCCCTCGGCTCGGTAATTGAAAAACGGAATCAGGAGAAAGTTGGACAGGCTATTGATAATCTCGTTGACAAATTTGATGAAATAATCCGGCTGATTCAGGCCAGACTTCAGTGTAGCCAGGTGCCCGGAGTGTGTGTTTCCCTGATTACTCTTACAGCAAGGTGCGATTAATAACAACTTGTCTAAAGATCGACAACTCTAATCGAACTTTAATTCATCCCAAAGTACCTTAAATCACCTACTGATCACTTTTCAAAACTTGACGATTATTTGCTGAATTCCTGGGTATCGGGCCTCGCGTTAAGCAATGTCTAGGTTTGTTGATTTGGGGGTTAGAGGATCAAATGTCGCCAATGTTCCCCTGTTGACTTCTGCTGGGGATAAGGTTGAATCGAGGACAACAGAGTCCGCGAGAAAATACCTTCATTTTGACACTCTTTTGATGAGCGGGAGATCCCTACATACCGGGTAATTAAGCAAACAATGGTAAAAAGAGGTAGAATTTGTGTCTGCAGTCTTCAGGAAAACGAGATATGAGTATTTAGATTGCATGTTTATGAAGTACATTATGTACTCGGATAATCGTAGCTTCTATAGACATATCATTCGATTGGTGACACCTTTACCAAAATATACCTTATCTGACCCAAGGGTCTATATTTCTTTCCGCTCTCCAAAGCGTTGATGTATTCTTATCTTATTAAGGTCAGACGACACGTTCCTAGAAAATATACAATTTTTTCCAAAGAATTTGTCATTGAGGTTTAACTACGTAAACAAGTTTCCTCACCAAAAATTGAGGTACCTTACCAGGCATTTGGGCAAGATACCAGAGGGTGATATTTCTTATATAATCCTTATGAGTAATCTGTTGAATTGCCAATGTCACAATTGTTGGTGTACTTATCATTTTAAACATATTTAAAACAATTTAGAAATCACAAGAGAATAACAATTATGAATAATATTTGATATAATACCAAGGTATACAAAATATATATTTGAGGAACGTGTCGTCTGAAATTAAGCTACCGGGTAAGTAGCCTAGTGGTAGGACGTTTGCTTCGTGATTGGGGGCCTGGATTCGATTCTCGATCGCCGCACTGCGTCAAACATAAGACGTAAAAATAGGTAGTGACTGTTCCTTCGCCAAACGTCTGACATCAGAAGTGAAAGTCACAGGTTTTTTTGGATGAAACCTTAAAAACCGAGGTCCCATGTCCCGTGGCTCGATAAGAACCCTCACTGGTCAATGGCCCTGAGTGCCTATAGTGAAGGTCTAAATTTGAAGCCCTTCACCGACATACGATGATGTCTTTATATGAGTGAAAAATTCTCGAATGGGACATTAAACAACATACAATCAATCAATCTTATTAAGCTTATCCCAACTGCTGTCTGACAGTGGCTTTACCAAGATTGTTACCCCCTCGCAACGGAGTTGCGGAGGGATATAGTCACGCGCTATGTGTGTGTGTGTGTGCGTGTGTGTGAGAGGGTGATGGTGTGTGTGTGTGTGTTACATGTAGTGGGTGGGATAGTTTGTCCTTGTGCGAAACGGAAGTGACGGAATTTGCACCGGGATCGAATGTTGCCTTGATATACATGTATGTATATTTTTAATTCATTCATCTATTATCTGATCTTCTCATATTCCAGTCACTTAAATAAAACTGAACAAGGGGATAATAGAATATAACATACAGTATTTTGCTTTTCCAAGTGTAAATTATAATTGAGTTGTGTGCAATCGGGTTCGAATTTTTTTTTTTACATCATATTTAGCTACGTAGCTTGAATTACCTGTTATAGGTTTACGTATCCACGATTTTAAGCATGTAAACATTTACTTCTTAACAGCACTTGTTCAATCACTATATATTTAGCTAGATACATGCAGCTTGCCTACGTACAGTGAACTCGCCAAATAACGGGTTGTCTCAGTTCCGATTCATTCGTTTGTAATTTATGCCATATTGTTTAAATTGAAGCACAGAAAAATTAATAAAAACACTGGTCAAGAATCGATTTTTACCTGTCTGTATAATCAGTAACGGAATTTCGAAAATCAACATCAACGTTTTTGTTCACTGCAGCAAGGCAAAAGTTGTAGTTAAAAAATAATAGCTGTAAAGTATGGCACTTGCATTCAGTTTTAACTCAGAAATCATTCAAATTGAACACTGCTCAAACAAATTTACACTGATTAATAAATAAAACTCTAGAAGCGGTCCACATACCTTAAGCAGGGAACATATCAAAATTAACTCAACATGCTCAATATTCAAAACCTAGTATCAACTTTTTATTTACTTACAAATTATAAAAGTATTCTCCAAGGAAAATATCAGAAGTAAAATTTGTGTTTCCCTTGCAAAAATAAATAAATAAAATAAACTAAAATATCCCCTCGCAACAAAGTTGTAGAAGATATAGTAACGTTCGTGTGTGTGTGTGTGTGTGTGTGTTTTTTTTTGGGGGGGGGGGGGGGTAACAAAAGTTAAGCACGTAATAATTCATATCAGGATTGATATGCTCTTTTGCGAGGGGATCCTCCGCTTTGCGGTGGCCTTGTCTGTTATGTTACTTGTTCTGATCACTTATAAATCCACCTCTATATCATGGGCTCGCTAATATCACCACGATTAGCACAATATAGGGCTTTTGTTTTTAATTCAATATAATTAGATATTTGCAATAACTTTTCCTTTTAAGGAAGATACATGTATTTATTCAGTTTATCTAGAACTATAATTTTAATTTGATCCTTGGAATATTATTCTTTTAACTTCACGTTAAAAATCTTGATGGTATCGTTCTTGAATGTGGAGGGGGCAGCCAAAAAAATTAAATCTTTGACAAGCCCCAAAAAAAGGGAGGGTGTCCAAGTCCAGACTAAAAAATCCGGGGGTGGGTGGGTAGATTAATACATTACCATGAGACTTAGCTGCAACTACACTGTTGCTTGTCTTTGATTATTATGTAATTGTAAACTTATCAAGCTTTAGCTAGGTTTGTTGCTTGTCTTTGATTATTGTGTAATTGTAAACTTATCAAGCTTTAGCTAGGTTTGTTGCTTGTCTTTGATTATTGTGTAATTGTAAACTTATCAAGCTTTAGCTAGGTTTGTTGCTTGTCTTTGATTATTGTGTAATTGTAAACTTATCAAGCTTTAGCTAGGTTTGTTGCTTGTCTTTGATTATTGTGTAATTGTTAACTTATCAAGCTATAACTTGCTCTGTTGTTTGTCTTTGATTATTGTGTAATTGTACTTATCAAGCTTTAGCAATATTTCTTGCTTGTTTTTTTATTACTGTATAATTGTAAACTTATCAAGCTATTATTTGGTCTGTTGCTTGTTTATGATTTCGGTATAGTGATCAAATTATCAAGCTTTAGCTCGTTCTGTTGGTGTGTCAGTTTGTGGGATTCTTGGAATTGGAACACAATCATAGTTTATTTATCTTGCAGGTCCTATGGTGATTACACATGCACATGTTTTGGTTATAAAAGTTTACCGACAGTTTAATAATTATTATATGGAGGTTAACATTTATTACAGAATCAAGTGCCTGTGTTACGTGATAATCTAAGTTAGTTATGCAACATATTCTGAAATTTCCTTATTTCATTTGATGTGTCTTAGAATCTAAGGTATATAATCCCTCTGTTCACTAATATGAAATGTCACTTTAAATAACTCTTATGATTTTCCAACAGAAATGTGTTTTATATGTAAACTGCAAACAATTTTAACATAGCTTGCGGGGGAGGGGGATTTGTCAATAGAAATACATTTAATCTTGACAAATACATTATATAATGAAAACTATTTTTTTTAATCGAACAGTCAAAGAAGGATAACTCTTAGACGTATTTCGGAAATTGCATTTCCTCACCCTTTTACAGTTTGTTACGCTCATACTTATTTCCGGTGTAACGAAAACCCAATTTTTTTCAATGCCGGCTCGGAGATCTTTAATGATCCACAGACAATAAGAGGCCCCATGACTCTAGGACTGAAATGTATCTGTTTACTTGTGTTCTTGTCTTCCATTTATGTGATAGGAATGTTTATTTTTGCAAAAGGATTTCTACTGAAGCGTGTTGTGATAGAAAAGAACAGCACGTGTGCCGTAAACTTCGCTCATCAAAGTGACCTACACGGGGATGAAGGGTGCTGGATGCACAGAAGCTACAAACGGGCGATCATTATTGTCATTGATGCCATGAAGTTTGAGTTCATGCGCTATGATAACGGATCTCTACACAATATTCCATACAAAAATAAAATGTCTGTGATAAACGATTTATTGACAACCAAACCTTTAAATTCAAAGTTGTACAAATTTTTGGCAGACCCTCCCACAACAACATTACAGAGATTAAAGGGACTAACAACCGGGAGTCTTCCCACATTTGTTGATGCTGGGGCTAATTTTGCAAGTTCTGAAATTACAGAGGATAACTTCATTGATCAGCTGATAAAACAGGGAAAGACAATTATATTTATGGGAGATGATACATGGATGGGACTTTACCCTGGGCGATTCAGAAGAGCATTTCCTTTCCCATCGTTCAATGTTAAGGATCTACATACAGTTGATAATGGAATTCTGAGCAATCTTCTACCACAACTACAGAAGCAAGACTGGGATCTCACAATTGCTCATTTTCTGGGTGTGGATCACTGTGGACATAGATACGGACCTGATCACCCTGCCATGGCAGAGAAACTTTCACAGATGAATCACATGATAATGTAAAAAAAGATTCATTGTTTTGTTTTGTGTTTTGATTATTAGTAATTTGCATTTACAGGAAAGACATCCTGATTAGAATGTTTATATAAAGCAGCTGTTAATTTGTGTCAATGAGTAAAATAATCTTTAATAAAATGGATTCTTTTGTAGAAATGTGACAAAACAGATAGCTTCTGATACTGTGCTGTTTGTTTTTGGGGATCATGGAATGACAAGAACAGGGGACCATGGCGGGGACAGTCAAGATGAACTGGAGGCTGGCCTATTTATCTACAGTCCCTCACAGCTAACATCTGTACCTTATTCTGTATGATATGATTAAGATGTACTTACAATCCTAGTGAAGTTAACTCTTATGCTCTCTGTCAGTTTTGTGGGCATTTCTGTTTAACCTACTCATCCTTTATAAACCAACTCAGATAACCTTGAAAAATCATAAGTGCATTACACGTCTTCCTTAAATGTCTACACATGTATCAACAAGATAAAAAATGGTAGTGTCCATTAACAAACATTTCAGAATATCTGTAGACAATCTTTGTTGTTAATTTCCAGTTAGCCTTTGTGATTTCCTTATATTTCAGCCTGACAGAACAATGACTGTATCCCAGAAGGATTTTGTTCCGACTATCTCCCTCCTGCTAGGGGTCCCCATACCCTTCTCCAGCCTGGGGCGGATCATTACTGACCTCTTTACTCATTGCACAGGGTGGAAAACTGGAAGTAGTTCCATAAAACAGGTTAGCATTTACCTCACTGTCAGACATCCAAGTTCACTAGTTAACAACTATAGTCTATATAAAAATTACTTGTTGACTATAAGAATTTTACCATGTTACTCAGTCTTACTGAATGAATTACTAACACAAAGACATACAGTAGTCCTTTTAAATTTCATTCAGTTTTTATGCAGTATTAATTTTAGCTTTTGTTTGCTTTCCTTTCTGATTCTCTTGTGTGATTGAGATTTCTGTTTGGTTATCTATCTTATGATTTTTTCCAGTTATTTCACAGTGTGAAGGCCCTGAGACTGAATGCTCACCAGATTAACACATATCTACAAGAATACTTCCAGCATTCCTCAGACTTCCCCATCCAGACTTATTACCAGCTAAAGAGTGTCCTAGATACAGCGGAGACTGAGTTAAACAGTCTGCTGTCCGAGTTAGTCAGGGACGGAGAGAGTCCACTCATGGAGGAGAAGCTGCAGAATCTCAGGGATAAATATATGTTCTACATTGATGAAGTTGGAGGAACAGCCGAGGGGGTCTGGGCCCAGTTTGATGTTATGTCTATGTGTATTGGGGTGCTGACTTTGTTTCTAGCTCTGAGCGTTAATGTTTACTTTATAAAGATCTCATTTTGGTGGAAGAAGGATATCCCTGCCACAGTTCTCGTTGTGTTCCTTGTGTCCCTGGTTTACCTGGCATTTGCTGTATTTCAGTCATTTTTTATTGGTGAAAGTAACAGTGCAATGATGGTGTTTTTGATGGGAAATTGTCTCGTTTTTGGAGTTTCTTTGTTGATTTTTAATTTCAAGGGCAGTAATCCACTTATCCTGAATAACAAAGAAAATCCTCCACTAGGATTTGAATCTCTGGAGTTTGTTCTAGCAGTTTTTATTACTTTTCTCACATTTGTGACTTATTTTTCCAATAGCTTTGTTGTCAATGAGGACTCCATAACTCTGTACTTGCTTCAATCCCTATCATGGGTTCTTTCATTCTTCACATTAAAACATGTCGTACGAATGTCTAGCATTCCTGTAGATCCAAAAACAAAAAAGCAGAAACCCTCCAGGAACTTTGATATCATGAGAGTCTTGACCCACCCAGCCCTTGTCCTGATTTTCCTTACCATCTTTTGGAGCCTGTTTTTGAGACTTTCAGCTGCATTTAGAGTTTGTCGAGAAGAACAGCATCAGTGTGAAGCCTCCATTTTCCTGCAGCCTCTTGGAAATCTAAATAGTCAGGAGGGGGTGAAGAATTTCAGGTACTTCTTCACTCTGGTATGTTTATTTATCATGGTCTTTGTGATTCATCAGGTGATGAAACATTTTGGGAATCTGAATGGTTTCCCTCCCCCTGTGTTGGGGATAACTTACCTTCTCCCCCTCTCTGCCTTGTTTTGCTCCCTTCACTGGGCATTACAGGGACTCCCACAGAAATCTATGGACAATCTTCCACCCTGGCAGCAGGTCCTCCTTCCCAGGGTTGTGTATTTTTTGGTTACTTTGTTCCTTTTCCTTCTTATCTATGACCCTCTTTGTATTTTTGTTGTGTTGAGATCTAAAAGGCTAATTATGGAAGATGATAAACAGCTCATACCCAATATATACCATCAGCTAAAAGAAAATTTGGAAGAGAAGGGAGATAAACCTCCATTAGTTTATGGACTGGCCACTTCTTTTACAGCAGCCACTGTTGCTATGGTTACTCTTGCCCTGGTGCTTCTTGGCATGTTGCTAGGTGATGGACTGATGCCAAGTTTGTTACTGGTCATTTTTTCTGTGTATTGCCATTTGGAAATCATTACAATCAGAGAAACAATAAGTAAGTATTAGGCTTCTCTGTAAAACTCTAAGTAAGTATTAGGCATTCTCTGTAAAACTCTAAGTAAGTATTAGGCATTCTCTGTAAAGCTCTAAGTAAGTATTAGGCTTTCTTTGTAAAACTCTAAGTAAGTATTAGGCTTTCTTTGTAAAACTCTAAGTAAGTATTAGGCTTTCTCTGTAAAACTCTAAGTAAGTATTAGGCATTCTCTGTAAAACTCTAAGTAAGTATTAGGCATTCTCTGTAAAACTCTAAGTAAGTATTAGGCATTCTCTGTAAAACTCTAAGTAAGTATTAAGCATTCTCTGTAAAGCTCTAAGTAAGTATTAGGCTTTCTTTGTAAAACTCTAAGTAAGTATTAGGCTTTCTCTGTAAAACAATAAGTAAGTATTAGGCTTTCTCTGTAAAACTATGAGTAAGTATTAGGCTTTCTCTGTAAAACAATAAGTAAGTATTAGCCATTCTCTGTAAAACAATAAGTAAGTATTAGGCTTTCTCTGTAAAACAATAAGTAAATATTAGGCTTTCTTTGTAAAACTCTAAGTAAGTATTAGGCTTTATCTGTAAAACAATAAGTAAGTATTAAGCTTTCTTTGTAAAACTCTAAGTACCTATTAGGCTTTCTCTGTAAAACAATAAGTAAGTATTAGGCTTTCTCTGTAAAACTCTAAGTGAGTATTAGGCTTTCTCTGTAAAACTCTAAGTAAGTATTAGGCTTTCTCTGTAAAACTATAAGTAAGTATTAGGTTTCTCTGTAAAACAATAAGTAAGTATTAGGCTTTCTTTGTAAAACACTAAGTAAGTATTAAGCATTCTTTTTAAAATGATAAGTTAGTATTAGGCTTTCTTTGTAAAACAATAAGTAAGTATTAGGCTTTCTCTGTAAAACAATAAGTAAGTATTAGGCATTCTCTGTAAAACTATAAGTAAGTATTAGGCTTTCTTTGTAAAACAATAAGTAAGTATTAAGCTTTCTCTGTAAAACTATAATTAAGTATTAGGCATTCTTTGTAAATCAATTAGTAAGTATAAGGCATTGTTTGTAAAACAATAAGTAAGTATTAGGCTTTCTCTGTAAAATTGTAAGGAAGTATTAGGCTTTCTCTGTAAACTATAAGTAAGTATAAATCTTTCTCTGTAAAACTATAAGTAAGTATTAGGCTTTCTCTGTAAAACAATAAGTAAGTATTAGGCTTTCTCTCTAAAATTGTAAGGAAGTATTAGGCTTTCTCTGTAAACTATAAGTAAGTAAAAGGCTTTCTCTGTAAACTATAAGTAAGTATAAGGCTTTCTCTGTAAAACTATAAGTAAGTATTAAGCATTCTCTGTAAAACAATAAGTAAGTTTTAGGCTTTCTTTGTAAAACAATAAGTAAGTATTAGGCTTTCTCTGTAAAACAATAAGGAAGTATTGGGCATTCTTTGTAAAACAATAAGTAAGTTTTAGGCTTTCTTTGTAAAACTATAAGTAAGTATTAGGCATTCTCTGTAAAACTGTAAGTAAGTATTAGGCATTCTCTGTAAAACTCTAAGTAAGTATTAGGCATTCTTTGTAAATCAATGAGTAAGTATTAGGCATTCCTTGTAAAACAATAAGTAAGTATTAGGCATTCTCTGTAAAACTATAAGTAAGTATTAGGCTTTCTTTGTAAAACAATAAGTAAGTATTAGGCTTTCTCTGTAAAACTATAAGTAAGTATTAGGCATTCTTTGTAAATCAATTAGTAAGTATAAGGCATTGTTTGTAAAACAATAAGTAAGTATTAGGCTTTCTCTCTAAAATTGTAAGGAAGTATAAGGCTTCCTCTGTAAAACTCTAAGTAAGTATTAGGCCTTCTCTGTAAAACAATAATAAGTATTAGGCATTCTCTGTAAAACTCTAAGTAAGTATGAGGCATTCTCTGTAAAACTCTAAGTAAGTATTAGGCTTTTTCTGTAAAATTGTAAGTAAGTATTAGGCTTTCTCTGTAAACTATAAGTAAGTATTAGGCTTTCTCTGTAAAACAATAAGTAAGTTTTAGGCTTTCTCTGTAAAACAATAAGTAAGTATTGGGCATTCTCTGTAAAACTATAAGTAAGTATTAGGCTCTTCTGTAAAACAATAAGTAAGTATTGGGCTTCTCTGTAAAACAATAAGTAAGTATTAGGCTCTTCTGTAAAACTATAAGTAAGTATTAGGCTTCTTTGTAAAACAATAAGTAAGTATTAGGTATTCTCTGTAAAACTCTAAGTAAGTATGAGGCATTCTCTGTAAAACTCTAAGTAAGTATTAGGCTTTTTCTGTAAAATTGTAAGTAAGTATTAGGCTTTCTCTGTAAAACAATAAGTAAGTATTAGGTATTCTCTGTAAAACTCTAAGTAAGTATTAGGCTTTCTCTGTAAAACTATAAGTAAGTTTTAGGCATTCTTTGTAAAACAATAAGTAAGTATTAGGCATTCTCTGTAAAACTATAAGTAAGTATTAGGCATTCTTTGTAAAACAATAAGTAAGTATTAGGCATTCTTTGTAAAACAAGAAGTAAGTTTTAGGCTTTCTTTGTAAAACTATAAGTAAGTATTAGGCATTCTCTGTAAAACTGTAAGTAAGTATTAGGCATTCTCTGTAAAACTCTAAGTAAGTATTAAGCATTCTTTGTAAATCAATGAGTAAGTATTAGACTTTCTCTGTAAAACTATAAGTAAGTTTTAGGCATTCTTTGTAAAACAATAAGTAAGTATTAGGCATTCTCTGTAAAACTATAAGTAAGTATTAGGCATTCTCTGTAAAACTTTAAGTAAGTATGAGGCATTCTCTGTAAAACTCTAAGTAAGTATTAGGCTTTTTCTGTAAAATTGTAAGTAAGTATTAGGCTTTCTCTGTAAACTATAAGTAAGTATTAGGCTTTCTCTGTAAAACAATAAGTAAGTTTTAGGCTTTCTCTGTAAAACAATAAGTAAGTATTGGGCATTCTCTGTAAAACTATAAGTAAGTATTAGGCTCTTCTGTAAAACAATAAGTAAGTATTGGGCTTCTCTGTAAAACAATAAGTAAGTATTAGGCTTTCTCTGTAAAATAACATCAGTGGTTTAATGTGACACAGGTAAAGAATTGAATTATTATATTTGAAAATGACATTGTTTGGGGACACAAATACTGAGATATCAGGCATTACATGTGCTTCGGAAGTGTAATATTTGTTATTTAAAGATTTTCAACATACATTTGAATTTTAATTAAACAAACAAAATGATTTGGGTGAATGTTTCAAATCACAGAGAACAGTTTGGTACTTAATTGAAAAATTTACTGATATGTGTTAAAGTTACTCCTGCATATAGATTAATCATGTCAACTATCTCTAACCATTCTGACAAAAAAAAAAGAATTTTTAAAACACATCATTGATAACCATGTATATAAATATTTGACTTAGATCTGCCTGTTTCTCTGTGGACCAGCCTAGTATATCTCTGTGTGCTAGCCTCAGTTTTCTTCTATGCCACTGGTCACCAGGCAACCATACCAACCATTCGCTGGGAGTCAGCGTTTATTGGTCTCCATGGAGATTTTACTAACAACGTTCTGCCAGCAATACTCATTCATCTCAACACTTTTTCCTCTCATGTGTTAGCAGCAGTTATTTGCCCTTTAATCCTATTCTGGCCTAAAACAGGTGGACTGTTGACCCGATGGGTCGTAGGGGTCAACAAGAAGGACAGCCCAGACTGGATTGGAGATTTCTGTTTCCATGACAACAAGGAAAACTTCAGAATGCTGATATTCAGAATATACTCCTATGCCTTTCTATATCAGGGATTTAAGGTGATATTTTTAGTAGGTTATGCATACAAGTTAGTGAACTACTAGTAAATCTAATTTAAACGCAGGCCATGTAACGAAATTGGAATATAGAGCAAACTACATCCAAAAAATTATTCTGTTTCACAAACAAAATTAAGGCCTCAGATGAATATTTAGGTGTTTGTAGTAATTACGACTAGGAAAAAAAAAGTTTACTATTACATACTTATATAAGGGTTGATACGTAGGATTTGGGTTTTTTTGTTTCTCAACAACCAAATTACAAAATGAAAGATGGCAGATGGTTGCAGCTAAGTTTTACAATGTAATTAAAAAAATAAATTTGATTAGTATTTCGTGTTTAATTAGGTTGTGGCATAATTCATCATTCATAAAAAATACAATGAACAATTAAATGTTGACTGTCAGTGTACACATTTTAAACACACTTTAGATCTGTATAATACTTTAAGGGACTTGGTATATTTTCTGAAAACCCAGCGGGACAGTTCTAGTTAGTATGTGCATCCTCTGTTTTTTTTCACAATTATCTTATATCAAATTTTGTCATCCATGGTAGTAACCGGGTTTGATTCTTGTTCCCAGCGCCACATCAAAAACTTAAGAAGTAAACATAGGTAGTGACTGCTTCTTTGCGTGTAGTGAAAGTCACAGGTCTTTCGGATGAGACCTTAAAAACCAAGACCCCGTGTCACAGTAGGCGTTGGCACAATAAAGAACCCTCACTGCTCAGTGGCACTGAATGCCAAGTAAAGGTTAAGTTTAAGCCTTTCACTGGTATATGGTGTGAAAAATTCTTGCAAGGAACGTAAAACAACCAACCAGTCAATCCGGGGGGGGGGGGGGGTGTTAAGGCTGCAAGAGAATGGGCAAAGAGATATAACTTCTGAAAAGATTTCTTAGGAAAGGATGATATAATGTGAATTATCTCCCCTGCTGCAAAAAATCCAGAGCCTTATCTTAATTTGTCACATTTAGATAAAATTTAGATTGCAAGTTATTCCTATTTTGAGGTTAAAAATGTCAATGCCAAGTTTAATTTCCAATAAAATAGATCTAAAAGAATAACAAAAATAATGTTTAAAATTTAACAGTAACTGTATTTCTGTTTTTAGGTTTTGGGATCTGTCCTTGCCGCCTTTCTACATAGAAGACACTTAATGGTGTGGAAGATATTTGCTCCACGTTTTGTGTTTGAAGCAATGACCAGTTTCACTGTCTATGCTCTGTCTATAGTGATGTTTATGTTTCTACTCCGTGTTGACTCAGCACTCACAAAATGGATGAAAAATTTCTTAAAGAAATAAATGGTTGTTACATTTTTGTTCTTTTCAACTCCACCCCACCCTCTGAACTGGACTCGATTTTTCCCAGTATTAAAAGTACATACTGCTTCAAACTCAGACTTCATACTAAAAATACATAATATTAGTTATCCAGGTTCAAGGGTGTACGGGGATTTACCCCGGGTTTCATATTCCATACACCCTGAGGCTGAAGGGTGTATGGAATACAACCTGGGGTAAATCCCCGTTCACCCTTGATTGGACCTGGATGACGAATTTATTTCCTATGTACCCAAATAAATTACTTGTAAGCAGGTCCAACTGTGTTTCAAGCTTTACTTCGTCCTACAATGTATCGTGACGTCATGTTATTTGCTTTTTATCATAGAGGAATTATGCATTGTGACGTCACTTTTTTTTTTTTACCCCCGGCTCAAGTCGGGTTAGCCTGGTTCCCTGTCCCTGTTATGCTTCGTATACTCCCGCGTCACTAGGGCCTCTCCTGCCTTGGCAAGGATGAGCCAGGGAACCCTGCTAAAGTCGGGTGTACGGAAATTTACACCCGACTTCGTAACCAATCAAAGCTCGTGATACAAGCTACATAGGAAATAATGGTGTAGATTGCGTGTTTACTGATGTGTGTAGATTACTAAGTGGAACAGGCATTTTTGTGTTGCCTGCAAAGCAGAGCGACACTTAACGAGGTTGGATCCTGATATTTAAAGTCTTAAACTTTTTTTGTAAAGTATATTTTATGTTTCTACACACATAGCTTAGTTAAAAATCAAAACAAAAAAAGGGGTCAATATGCTTTTTTTGGCGCTACAGTACATTTAATTTGACCTTTTTGCACTGAAATTTGTGTCTTAATCAAAAATCACATCTTCGACGTTTTCCCTCCAAAGTTTTTATCCAAATAAATCATGGGACAAAATAAACTATTAGTTCATTTAAAAAGAGACATATTAAAGTTGTGACTAAGAAAAAGTTACAAATTGCTTCGCATAATCAATTATTTGACCTTTCTGCACTCATAAAATGTGATTTTTCTGGCATTAAAAATTTAACCAGCAAGAAAATTATTTTAAAGTCTTAAACTTTTGCTGAATTTAAGCAGATTGATCAAAGTTATCTTATATATTCAGAAAAGAAAAACAAAAGTGGGGGTCTATGATCTGAATTTTTAGATATTACTAAAAAAAGTGTTAATTTTATGATAAAATTGGCTCAATTCTTTCCTAGAATTTCAGAATATATTTACTATATTTGTCACAATATAATGAAAGAATTTATAAGAAATAATTTAATAGATATTTCAGAACCAGCATAAAACATTCCACTGCAAAAAACATCTCTGTTTGCAACCAGCATGGAAAAATAGGAATCTAAACTTAACAGTACTGTATATATTTCAAAAGGGAAAAAATGATCATTTTCTTCTAAAAAAGCTTCCGCCACAAAGTATAGTTCCTGGCTTAATCCTATTTGAATGGAATTTAATCGCGGTTTTTTCATTGGATATAGTTTAATTTGCAGAGTAGAATCCAGATTTAATGTTAGAATTTAAAAATGATGCAGAATTTTAGAAATAAAGATCCAGGCCAAAATCTGCACAAAAGCTCAGGATCGAACCTCCTTAAAGATCTCTTTATCCTGTCTCTGCCTGTCCGTTCGTCTAGCTGTTCCGTCTATCCATTTTCACACCCTGTATCTTGAGAACTGTAAAAGGTATATGGATTTGATTGCACAAATATTGCTTGGCGCTTTTGTAATATACCATGATATGACATTACAACAATCTAGTAATAAATAAAATTACACACATCAAACTTTAAAAATAAGAACCTGAGCATAACGTAGTATCGTAGAATGTAAGTTTCCCGCAATTTACAACTATAAAACAGGTAAAGTTAACCCTAGTCAATAAATGTCATTTAGGGACCATCTCAAAATATAATGATTAATATAACAATACGATATAGATCTTTACAGTGACCAATTTATGTTTTCAATGTAGATTCGATCGTCGATTTATGGAAAGAAAGGGTGATAGTATTTTCTGTTTAGTATGATAAAATTGATAATGGAAAAACTTTGCGTGGTACATTGTTGCTCCGTTTACGAGAAACGAACTGAATCATTTAGATCACAGCTTGAAACGGAACCTGGCTACGGGATCATAAAGCTGACTTAAATTTTCAATCACCTGTAAGATGTTAATTAATTTTTAAACCTCAATTTTGCAGAGAACAGCACTCTAACGATACAATGTTGAAAAAATAGTTTTGTTTTGGTCTATTTGTCATCTACAACATTTCAGTACAATATACTTCACCTTAAGATATTTCATTATCCCGGGGCCTGATCCATTGCTCTGCGCAACCAAAAATGCCCGACCGCTGTTAAGACGAATAATGACTCCCGTAGAAAAATGACCGTGAGTCCGTGGATCATTTTTTGACATTGAGAATTGACCCCCAGTCGTATAAAAATGTAATTTTTGTAGAAAAAGAACCGTAAGAGTAAGTTCTCTACATGTGCAATCTATAAGAAATTGACCCCCGTTGAAAAATGACCTCCCAGCAATGATTCAAAGTTTAAAAGAGGTGATTGATTACAAGATTTGGGTCTCAACTTTTAATTCCCTTGTTTTTCTGACGAACACGGAATTAAAATGTAACAAAACAGCATTACATTTTTTTGATCTATTATACCTACAAGTACATTGTATTTGGATGTTTTAGTAGAGAAAGACACTAATGGCAAACTAACAAAAAATAATCTTCATTATAAACGTAATGACAAATTTTTCTATCGTGGACTCCCCTAATTTATGTGGCAAAATACCATTATCACCTGTATCGCTTGCATATGGAGGTTATGTCTCCCATTTGATTCGATACGCAAGAGCATGTTCTATACGTACGAACAATTTACTTATAAAACGAGGTAAGCTATTGACAAATAGATTGATGATACAAGGATATAAACAGTCTCGTTTAAACTCAACATTTTGCAAATTCTATGGTCGATACAATGACTTTGCAAATGTTAGCATATATACAATCTATCGTTAAGTCGAATGTTGACTGACATTTTTCAAACAAATTGTTAGGCCATTATTTTCACACTGAATGTCTACGGACTGTTCCATTTTCTCGATCATTACAAGGAGAACACAGCGGGTGGGACTGGTCGACAGGGGATGCTTACTTCTCTATGGCACCTGATCCCACCTCTGATGTTTTAAGAGGTCCGTGTTTGCTCTACTCCCATGTAATGTTCAAATGGACTTTTGAGCTTGATAACTTCATTATCTTCATATTTCATCTACTGTGTTTTCAGCACAAAATAAAAATCGGTCAATATATACGTCACAACGGCCATTGTTAAAACTGTTATCTTAATCTTACTTTAGTATCCGTTTCATATTTAGATTTTTTACTGATATAGACACTAATGGCCAACTCATGGCCGTAGGAACCCGGCGGGGGGGGGGGGGGGGGGCATGCTAACCCCCCCCAACCCTCCCCAATAATCTTGCCGATATTTAGAATACTATAGAAAACATAGCTACCATATATGCTTGTGCCCCCTCAATAACTTCCGATGACCTTTTTTTTCCTTATCAAGGAATTTTGGTAGTGACCCCCCAACCCCCAACTGAAAATGATAATGTCCTGCAACTAACAGCTTAACTATACGACAAAGGGATGACAACTGAATCGGATTTTCCATTGCCAATTTCTTACATGTATTTATGTAGTAATATTCAATATATCGCCTGTATATTGTGTTCAAGTCACTTAACTTATTTTGTACGCTAGAGCATGTTCCGAGTACAATCAACTTTTTAAACAGAGAAAGTTTATGAACAAATAAGACGATGTTACAGGCTTTTATCATTCTCAATCAAAGTCAGCATTTCAAAAATTATTGGGTCATTATAATGACCTTATTAGCAAATACATCTATTTTCTAATTTTTTTTTATTTTGTAAGGTTATATATGATGTAATTTTAAAATAATAAGGATAAATAACACAAATTTTTGTCAGAAATCAACAATATATCACATAAATTTGTATTCATACAGGTAACCTGAATAATGTTTGCCTGGGTAATTGTGAAAATTTTGTAAGATATTGTAATAATGTTAAAAAATGTGTGCAGAATGTTGTATAGATTTGTACAATGTACATAGAAAACGCCACACGGTCGCATATTTCAGCACCAAAGAAAACTTACGAAGACTTTCTAAAATACATAATCAAAAGAAATTATAGTTTTTTATGCTTCAAAATGGTATCAGGGATATAAATGAATAGATCTAAACCTTGATTGAAAAAAAATTGGCTTTTTGGTTGTAATTTTACATTATTTTTTCAATTCTAGTCTTGAAAAGTTTTAATATGAACGAAATATGAAACAGTAAACCCCCCCCCCCCCCAAATCACTTTATTTTTCATTTCAGTTCAGTCAATTCTTTAAATCTAAGCCAAAAATGAATTTTGATAAAGAAGTTTTCTTACAAAAATACTAGATTTTGAAGTGACCCTATTTTACCTTATTGTCTTGCACTCCTGACATCTGATTTGTATTTTATCTAACATTGTTTTAAAAATTATAACACACAATAACCCATTCATAGTTTGTAAATCAGTTCGTCGTTTTGATATTTTGTACCATTTACGGCAAGCTTTTCATATTTTCAAGACTTCAAAACGTGATTATTTGCAATGTGTAATATATGTACTTGCGTTTAAAAATATGTGATAAGTGATGAAAACTTTTCTATGAACTGACTGTAAATTGTCTTAATTAATTGATAGACATAATGTTTCGAACATCAAATAGTATCAAACATCTTTTTCAGTTTGTTTTTTAAGTAAAGATAGATGAAAGTCATTGAAATGAACAGTCTACGGATTTTTCCGGGTTTTTTCCCCCGATCATGACAAGGAGCACACGGCGGGCGTAACCGGTCGGCAGGGGATGCTCACTCCTCCATGACACCTGATCCCACATCTAAATTTT